ACTCAGGACCTTTGGAAGAGCAGGCAATGCTCTTAACCACTGAGCCATCTCTCCAGCCCCCAGAGGTTTAAATATTTAAAGACATCCACCTGGCTTCACTGTCGAAGCTAAGCCTCTCCTCTTCCTTGGACTCCATGTAAACCATTTCCAGGCATTTCGACATCTTTTATGCCTGTGCTGCCTGCTCCTTGATCAATGCCAGTCTTAAAATCCAGTCCCCAAATCTAAGCTTGTATCCTTGCTGAGATCTCAGCAGTTAGCCTGAAGAGTATCCAGAAAAACACCATTGATTTCTTAGAGGAAAACTGCGATTCAGGTTCGAGTATATATAATAGTATATAAGAGGCTTCCCTGAGGTAAGCTAGGATTGTGGGAACTCTATTCTAATAAAGATGATGGAATCAAGATGCAAACTGGGGAGCACTGAATTACCAGTCCTGAGCTACAGTCACTGTGGTTGTCTCCCAAACTAGCCCAGTGCTCCTGACAATCAAGGAAAAGGGGGAATGGGGGGGGGGAAGGTCACTCATGGGGAACAAAAGTACTCCCACCTCTAAACTCTTAGATATCCCTCCCTATGTTGAGCTTACCCAATTTGGTTGAAAACAACAGATACGCAGAGAACTAGAAACACAAACTGACACACGTGTGATGGTCAGAAGCTATGTTGTTATGGAATATTAATTTAAGATGCGCTTCATTCATTTATGCTGTGGAATATCTGCTTAGTAATGCAAAGTTGTGTTGCTTCTTTTATGCTGCATTTGCTTAACTCTGTGAAGCTGTGTTACTGTGCCTGTCTAAAACACCTGATTGGTCTAATACAGAGCTGAATGGCCAATAGCAAGGCAGGGGAGGAACAGGTGGGGCTACTAGGCAGAGAGAATAAACTGAAGGAGAAAAATGAGAAAAGATTGAGGAGCGAGAAAGGGAGAAGGAGAGGAGAATGCCGGGGGCTAGCCACCCAACCACACAGTCAACTACAGAGTAAGAAAGTTATACAGAATTAGAGAAAGATAAACCAGAGACAAGAGGTAGACATGATCATTTAAATTAAGAAAAACTGGCTAGGAACAAGCCGAGCTAAGGTGGGGCATTCATAAGAAAGAATAAGACTCCGTGTGATTATTTTGGAGCTGGGTGGAGGGCCCCCAAAGAGTCAAAGAGAGGGAAGAAAAAAAAACCAACTATAATGTCTTATTTTTTCATATTATATTTTATAAAATGTCTAACTTGGCTGGGTGGTGGTGGCGTAAGCCTTTAATCCCAGCACTTGGGAGACAGAGGCAGATGGATCTCTGTGAGTTCAAGGCCAGTCTGATCTATAAGAGCTAGTTCCAGGACAACTAGGGCTACATAAAGAAACTCTGTCTCAAAGAAAACAAAACAAAACAAAAAAGTCTACCTTAAAACTCAATGTATTTTAATAGCACTTGATAATTGTCAATATGAGAAATACAGCTAGCCTAAATATTAAAATATACACATCAGCCTGGTGTAGTCTTAGGCTATATAACGTCCCCCCCCCAGCATTCTCTCTCTCCCCCTCTCTCTCCCTCTCTCTCCTTTTCCCTCTCTGTGTCTCCCCCACCCCGGGGTCTCCAGCTGATCTCAAACTCGCTCTGTAGCTGAGGAGGACCTCCTCCGTCTATCTTCCATGTGTTGGGATTTCAGTCTAGCAGTACCATGCCCAGAAAAAAAAAAATTAAATCTCATCTAGTAAATAGCATTGTTCACTGGGCAGTGGTTGTGCACATATTTAATCCCAGCACTCCAGAGACAGAGGCGGTGGATCTCTGTGAGTTCGAGGTCAGCCTGGTCTACAAAAGCTAGTTCCAGGACAGGCTCCAAAGCCACAGAGAACCTCTGTTTCGAAAAAAACAAAACAAACAAACAAATAAATAAATAAATAAATAAATAAATAAACATTGTTTATTACTTCAGTCATTTATCAAATTAAATTTTTTTTCTCCTAATTACTAGAACAGATAGGAGATCAGGAATAAGATTCCTATTTTCAGTTCTGTCTCTCCCTACCTGTAAAAACACAGAAAAGTCTCTTCTACCCTCCCAGGGACTCAGATTCCCCCATTATAAAATAAAGGGGCTAAGTAAGATGAATTCTAAGGGCTTTTTGTTTAACGTTTTTGAAATTTTAAATATTTTCATAAAAGACACAAAATACCACACTTGATACTGATCACTAGGGATGTTGACTATTTACCAAGCCGTAATTGGTACGTGCAGATCGGTACTGTGGGATGGAAACTGTAGACTGTTTTAATCATGCTTTTCCAGATATCAGGAGGGAGGTAACAGTAGCAGCTGGCACACGGCCAGTACTAGCAGCGCCCGCAGTGGCAAGTAGTGTTGGGGAATTTCCGCACACAGGCAAAAAGTTCTAAAGATACCATCGGGAACAGTCACAACACATGATCTGACCAAGTAAAACACATCTGAAATGAAAAGACAACCATAATAGTTGGGACCATTTCACTCTTACATAAGGCGTGCTGACCGACCTAGCCTGGCACAATTCTTTGTACCACATTGAAACCCAAGAGCCAATCTCCCTCTGGTACAACACATCTTCTACAAAACCAACATCTAAATTCAAGAATAAAACTTCACAAGTATTAGGCTAGCCTCGGTTTAAAATGTGATGTATCTTCTGAGGTCCCCAAATTTTCTTCAGTATGAATAAGATAACTGAAGACATAAGTTCAAGTGCAAGAAAATATCAGAACCCAGAGTGAGCCTTCATCCTGGACAGTATTTTACGTGACTAACAGTTTGATTTGCAAAGAAAAAGTCCTTTTTCGCAAAGGAAATTCCTGGGGTTTGCTCAGTAATTTTAAATTTCCATAATGGAAACTGATTTGAAATGTTAAGTTAGACAGGGGAAAAACACACCCTATTTTTAACTGTGATTATGAAATATGTTACAAAGTAATAGGAGTATTAGGCTGGCTAATACTTCAAAATCCAGACAAATAAGTCTGGCTTGAGAAGACAGTGGAATAAGAAATGACAAGAATGGAATGACTTAAACCCAAGACAACTGCATGGCACATACGTGACTCAAGGCCATATAGCACTTCTCGAAGAATTATTTTATATTTCTGGAAAGCAAACCAATTACAGTTGTTCAAACTACCGCAAGAGCTTGAAGGTCTATCAACTCCTTTTCTCAATAAATGGCGTTTTAGTTACAAATAGTAAAGTAGGTGGAAGGGCTTCATTGCAAGAGAAAATCATGCAATATAAATTTCAAACTCCCACAAAGCGTACTTTTCCTCTAACTGCCCTGGGACACAACAGACACCTCAAGCCGCCAGAAAAGAATCTGTTAGCAGGTTTTAACAAAAATGTTAAAGTTTGTTATTGGCATAAAAACAGTTGGATCAATAGAACCAAATCAAAACCCAAATATCAGTTCACACACTTACGAACACCTGATTGTTCACAAAGAAACTAAAATTCTAAGATGGAAAAAAAGAAAGCATATTTAGCAAATGGTTCTGGCATAACTGGATGCCAACATGTAGAAAAATGCAAACAGATCCATACCTATTGCCATGCACAAAACTCAAGTTCAAATGGATCAAAGACCTCAACATAAAACCAACCACAATGAACCTCATAGAAGAGAAAGTGGGAAGTAGCCTTGAATGCATTGCCACAGGAGACCACTTCCTAAATATAATCCCAGCAGCACAGACACTGAGAGAAACAATAAATGAATGGGACCTCCTGAAACTGAAAAGCTTCTGTAGAGCAAAGGACATGGCCAACAAGACAAAATGGCAGACTACAAAATGGGAAAAGGTCTTCACCAAGCCCACATCTGACAGAGGACATATCTCCAAAATATACAAAGAACTCAAGAAACTAGACACCAAAATACCAAATAATCTAATTTAAAAAATAGGATACAGATCTAAACAGAGAATTATCAATAGAAGAATCTCAAATAGCCAAAAGACACTTAAGGAAATATTCAACTTCCTTAGCAGTCAGAGAAATTCAAATCAAAACAACCCCAAGATACCATTTTACACCTGTCAAAATGGCCAAGATCAAAAACATTGATGACAGGCTACTGGAGAGGATGTGGAGTAAGGGAAGAACTCCTCCATTGCTGGTGGAAGTACAGTCACTTTGGAAATGAGCATGATGATTTCTCAGAAAATTAGGAATCAATCAACCTCAATATCCAGCAATACCACTTAGGGGCATATACCCAAAGGATGCCCAATCATACCACAAGGACATGTGCTCAACTATGTTCATAGCAGCATTATTCATAATAGCCGGAACCTGGAAACAACCTATATGCCCCTCAACCAAAGAATGGATAAGGAAAATGTGATACATTTACACAATGATGTACTACACAGCAGAAAAAAAAAATGACAGCTTGAAATTCACAAGCAAATGGACAGAACTAGAAAAAAAAAAAAAAAAACCATTCTGAGTGAGGTAGCCCAGACCCAGAAAAACAAATATAGTATGTACTCATAAGTGAATATTAGACATAAAGCAAAGGATAACCAGACTACAGTCTACAACCCCAGAGAACCTAGACAACAAAGAGGACCCTAAGAGAAACATAAATGGATCCACTTAGGAAGAAGAAAAAGACAACATCTCCCGAGTAAACTGGGAGGGGGGGGCAGGGAGAGGGTAGAAGGGAAGAAGGGAGGAAACAAGGAGAGTGGGGCAGATTTGTAAAGGTGAAAAACTTCAGCCAACAATGACCTCAGAAAGGATAGGAGTATTTTTGCCATATTAGCACGTGTGATAATCCCCCCCCACACACACACATTCACCCCAAACACCTCTCGGGACTTCCAGAAAGAGCGTGTTGGCAAATCCCAATAAACCGCATATCAAGAGGTCACACAGCAGGTTAAAAACCAAAGGAACTCGCAAAATAAACCTTTACAAGACTGAACCATTCTTGAACTCTTATTAAAAGCAAAAGAACAATTCGTGGAGCAGGAATGAGTGACTGACTTGCGATCATCTGATAATATACAATGTGTCCAGCAGCCCAACAGTTTTTTTGTTTGTTGTGTTTTTTTTTATTGCCTCCTCCAACCACAAGAGATCATCAGAGGCGAAGCCTTTGTGACACTATACACACACACAAAGTTGGTCACCACGAATCATACTTCCCATGTGATGATGGGTAAAAAGATGTTTTGTTGTTGTCGTTATTGTTATTGTTTCTGATCTAAATTGGGGTGGGGGGGGGATACCGTTGTGCCTCACTCTACATGATAAATTTCCCCAGAAAGAAGCCAATTAAAACTGCTCCAATCATAAGCAGAACAACCGGAAGAGGCGTGGTGCGACTCTTCTTCAAGGATGTGGTGGAGGCGACCCTGGGATTGTTGGGCTGCGCTGGCTTTCTGAGTCTCACGCTTTCGTCCCCTTTTCCAGACTCTTTTGGCATTTCAAACACACACCTCAGTTTCGAATTCACGATTTCACCGGGGATCGCCTTCTTCCACACGGTCCCCAGATCCGGATTGTCCGGGGGAGCAAACATTGTCTGCACCATGAACTTGTGCTTCACCTCCCGGCTGGGGTCGAAGCGGAAGGGCTGCAGCATGGTGGCGACGGTCACTGTGGAGCCCGGCTCGACGACGCCGCTGTTGGGACGCACGCAGTAGCAGCGAGGGTTGGTGCTCTTCATCTTGAAGCACACTTTCCTCAGTGACGGGTTGTGCAGTTTAAGATGCGTGATGACGACGGTGGTGAAGGGACCTCTGAACCTGAGGACCTTAGGCGGGTCGAGGACCAGGATCTGCGAGGGTTTTGCGGTGGCACAGGAGGTGGACGCCATGGGGACCGGAGCCGGCGGCGGTTCGCGATCCCAGGTCTCCGCGTCACAACCGCCATGACCACGCGCGTTCCCATCCTGGGCATTCTCCCGTCCCTGGATTTTACACGGCTGGGGGGGGTGATAATATGAGATTTGTAAAATCATAATCATGCCTCAGAGAGAAACATGGGTTATTGAGCTTCAACTGTCAAAGAACAGTGTCAACATTTCTTAGTGGAAGGAGGACTCATGTGTATTAACCATGGGGTATGAAGAAGCACATCTGAATTCTACTAACGCTCCCCGACTCTACACACCGTGTTGATAATGTCCTTTTAAAAAATTTTTCCTGAACATTAAAAAAAAATGTTGAAAAATACCACACTGCATTAAAAAATTAACAATTCTTGACATTTTTAGATGTATGATTTAGTGGCAATAAGTAAATTTTACTGCACACTAGTCTCCTAGGGTGTAATCTGCCTCCTAGGGTGTTTGTCACCAACTTGATATAACTTAGAGTCACCTGAAAAGAGCGTAAACTGAAGGGCCTATGTGCACATCTGTGAGAGACTGTCACCAATGACGGCTGATGTGAGGAGACCAATCCCTAGGCCTGTGAGCCTGGACTGTCTAAGATGCACGGGGCTGCGGGGGAGGGGAGTTATTCCTCTAAAGACACCTGCTGGAGTTCCTGCCCGGACTTTTCTCAGTAACGGACAGGAGACCTGGAAGTGTAAGCTAAAACAGACCCCTCCTCCCCTAGTGGCTTCTGGTCATGGTGTTTATCCCAGCAACAGAAAGGATTCAGTCTAAACAGAAACCTACGGGCATCATTTATTTTCTTGGAACTTTATATGCATCTTCCACTTAAAAGACTTCCCTCTCGAGAGGGGGCGTTTACACTAAAGGAATTTATCAGTGTTCAGACCCCAGAGGCAATGAATAAAGAACTCCTGCCTCCCTTCCCTCTGCCCCCTAGGGGTGGGATGGAAGAAGCGGGGACAGAATTGCCCCTGCGCAGCATTTTTCAGCTGGTCCCTTTCACCCTCGATGCCTTCACCTGGAAATGCAGCTGTCAGGGTTGTGTGGGTTAAGTGAAGGAATACGCAGTGAGAAGAGTCACGCATCACACACTCCAGTTTCTTATTAGTCACGTGCCTCCTAGGTAAGGCCGCCTCTTGTCTACAGATAAGAGATGCAGTCTGAGCAGCTGCTGGTGCTGAGCAAATATTCATTATAGGAGCAGAGGGGCACCATCCCACCATCCTGCTACAAGGTGTTTCTGCTCATCCCACCATCCTGCTACAAGGTGTTGTGCTAGGAACAAAACCCAGGGCTTTACATGTGTTTACACCAGTACTCTAACACACACACACACACACACACACACACACACACACACACCCCGCTCAGGTGAAAGGTCTTAATGTAAAAACAAAGGCGTGTCTGTGTGGCCTGACTGGGCCCGGAGGGTGGAATTGTTCTCATTAGTACAGACCATTGCTCGGGCTCCGCCATTCACAAAGTAAACAGTGTAGCCGAGTCTATCAAACCCTTGGCAACACCACCATTTCACACAAAATCCCAGCTGTGGTTTATGAAAGTGTGGCAGCTTGGAGGAGAGAAGGCAGGATTTGGGTGCCGCTAAAGGGTGACATGGAGCCTTACCAGAGCCGGAGTCGGCTGGCAATTGACTCATTTTTGTCCTGTGTGCCTTCAGTTATGGCAAATGAAAAACAGGCCTCTCCTGAACTTCCCCTGCCTGTGCCACACACCGGCACTAGCATCCCCCACCCCCAGCCAGCCTCAGCCTCATCCCACCTTTGTCCATCCCTTTCTCTCGTGGCAAGGTCTGGGGATTTGTGCCTGGAAAGACGGGAAGTACAGATCTCTATTCTGGGTCACTAGGTCAAGGCTAACCTAGAGCCACAGAACTTCCTTCTCCCAGAGTAAACAGTGAGGCAGGAGGCTTCCAGGCAACACCGTCTGTCAGTTCCTGCCAAACCAGGAGCAAGGCATGGGGTTCAGCCGAGAGTGAGTGCTATACAGACTGACGACTCCATCTGGAGCAAAGAGAAGGGGGACACAACCCAGGGAGCAGTGCAGCCAGTCATGGAACCACGGCCCGGAAAGCCCAGCACTTGGGAGCTGGAGGCAGGAGAATTAGGGAGTTCAAGGTCATCCTCAGCTACAAAGCCAGTCTGAGGCCAGCCTAGGCTACTAGAGATTCCGTCTCAAAACAAGAACAAAACCCAAAACAACAAAAAGGAAGATGGGGAGAGACGAGCAGGAGACAGGACCAGAAATACCATTTCCACTTTCTGAGGTTGCTCCATCTTCTGGTTGACAGTTGCTTAATTCTGTTAATGTGATCTTCCTTGCCTGTCTCTCACCTCTCCCAAATACTGGGGTTCCCCATGCCTCTAGTCTAGAGTACATACTTCCATTCAAAAGCCATGGCACAGCCACAAAATTAGATATCCATCATAGACTTCTATTATCTGAAGATGCGTGACCTTATAACAGCCTTCAGCATAGTCACAAGTTCTGAATCCCCTCGGTCCACTCAGATGGGACCACAAACGGTTGGATCCCAAGCAAAGCCTAGGCTGCTGAAGTCACAGGCAGGACCCCTCTTCACTCTCCGGTACCAAAGGAGGAGTAAGGAGTTGAAACATCGATTGTTATGGGTAGCAAGCGTTCTCTTCCTAATAGGCACGGGTTTGTAGCACAGGTTTAACAATCCAGTGATTGGGAAACTTCACTTGTTAAGGCTTTGGTTTCTACTTGGTCCAACTTCTACTATAAGTCAAAAAAAAAAAAAACAAAGAGAAATGTATTGTCTACAGGAAGTGATGTGTTGGGTTAATTCATTTCTCTCTTGCTAAATTCTCATTGAATTTCCCTTATTTTGGAGCTATTCTCAGAACACTGGTTCCTGTCTCCCTAAGAAAATTAAAGAAAACATAGAGACAGTCTCTCTCCCGAAAAGGAGAGCCTTTTGCCCTCTACAGCTTTATTATAGTATAATTGACAAATAAAAAAAAAGTATGAATTATGGCATGGAACATTTTGATATATGTATGTATTGCAAGTTATTAAGTCAGACTAATTCATCAACTCACCACATCACACACGTAAGATTTTGTCATTTTTTTAAAAAATTTTTTTCTGGAGAATGATTCTCGCTTTGTAACCTAGGCTAGCCTTGAACTCATGATTCTTACAGGTGTACCCTACCACACCTAGCTTGCAATGACTTTAGATTTTAAGTTAAATGTAGTCCCATTTGTCTATTTCTACTTTTTCTGCCCTTGCTATCCAGGCCAATCAATGCCAAGAAGACTTACCCCTGTCTTTTAATAAGTTCACAATTTCTGCCTCACTTTTTAGAGACACGGTTAATCCGCTCAAGTTGACTTTCGCACAGGAGCTGGATGTCCACTTCCACTCCCACACATGTGCTCTCCTTTCTCAGTACATCTATAAGACCTTTTCTCCTCTTTTATCTTTAGTTCTATGTGTTTGTCCGTGTGGGGTTATTTGCACATGGATGCAGTGTCTTCAGAGGAGGCCAGAGGCGTCTGATAACTCGAGAGTTAAAGTCACAGGCTACCGTGGAACACCCAGTGTGACTGCTGGGAACCGAATACGTGTCCTCTGTAAGGTCAGTGCATGTTCTTAACTGCTAAGCCATCCCTCGGCCCCCGTAGACCATCCTTTTTTCACTGTGTGTCCCTGACACCTTTGACACTTTTGTTAAAGCTGATGGTAAACTCACAGTTTATTAAGCAGTTCTCTGTTCTGCCCCATTGGTCTTTATGTGTATTGCTATGCTGTACTGTGCTGCTATGGTTGTTATAGCTTCAGAGCGGAACTTTAAATTAGGCAGCGAGGTACCTTACTTTCTTCTTTTTGCTCATGTTTTTCTTAGATGTTCAGGGTCTTTTGGGTTCTATATTAATTTTAGGATTGATTCCTATTTCTGTAGAAAAGTATTGAGTTGTTGTAGGGATTGCGCTAATTATTCTAGATTGATTATCTAGATTGATTTGTTGTGTAGGTATTTTTAATATTAACTGTCTCAATCTACGAATGGGCTGTACTATCCATTTGTCTCCTGCATTTCTTTCATTTTCTCACAGTTTTTTGGTGCGGATTTATAGATTGTTTACCTCCTTGGTTGAATCCACTCCTAAGGTTTCTGTTGTTATTGTTTTGTTTTTTGTTTCTTTCTTCCAATGGTACTAAAATAGCACTTTTTGTTTGTTTGCTTGCTTGTTCCTTTTTTGGAGAGTTCAGTTTTAGTTCATAAATGTTTGTTTGTTCCTTTTTTGGGAGAGTTCAGTTTTAGTTCATAAAAGCACACTGACTCTTGTGTGTTGGTAATGTATCTCCCAGTATTACTGAGTTTGTGAAGGTCTGTATTTTGGTGGTTGTATTTAGATTTTTCTAGAGATACAATCATGTCTTCTGCAAATGGCAGAAACTTTACTTTCTTTCTTTCCTATTTGGCTGACTTCCTCTCTTTTGTAGCCCCAGCAGTCCTGTGGTGATTCATGTTGGGGCTTGCTTATGGTATACTCAGAATCAGTTCGATTTCAACAAATCACATGATTTGAGGGATGAAATACATGATTGGCCAGCTTTAGTCAGAAGTCCTTCTCCAGCCACTCAAAGGAAGATCTGAGGTGATTTCTCCAGGGAAAGAAGGAAGGATGGAGGTCAGACAAAAACAATAGCTGACCTCCACCACGGGTGTGCCATCCTCTTGTGTAACAATGACTGAGTAAAATACAAGCAGGGACATCTCGAGAGCCTTGCCCACAGAGACCAGTCCTGTCAGGAGGCCAGAAGCCCAAAGGGGTTGGGGGAGGAGTGGAACCTCCTTTCAGGATAATGCCTCTTGGAGTGGAGTCATCATACCTCCTAAACGGTGAGCTAACTTTAGGAGAAAGAGCCTCAGCTAGCTTTAGGGAAAGGGGCCTTATCTGAGCAGGAGGAATTCAAAAGGCTTCCTGCTTCCTGAGGAGTGTGCAGGATTTAGACTGAACCCAGAAAAGAGGACAGCAACTCAGATGTGCGTGCAGAAAGGAGAGGGGAACCATGGTGGAAGAGGAAGGGCC